GGCTCTCTTTCAATCCTTTCCGCCCCGAGCGGGGAGGCTCGAGCACCCCCGGGCCTCGCAGCGCTCAGGTGCTGTCGCGGTCACCTACCTTGGTCCCCAGAGACGCGAGCGCCGCGCGGGCACCGCTGCGCTCTCAGAGGCTGGCTGGGCTCCGCGCGCGGCCGGGGCAGTCGGCCCATGTCAGCGCCGGCGCTGGTTTCGCTCTGGCTCGGGCTCCCAGGGCTGTCGCCGTGCGGACACTCCCCTTCCAGGCTCCGCCCGCGCCCTCCCCCCGCACCCCGCTGCGCTGACGTCACGGCGCCGCGGCAGCCAATGGCGGTGGGGAACCTCCGCCCGGCCGCTCGGCCTCCACCGTTCAAATCTGGGAGCCTGAGACTTTCAGAGCTCCGGGTGGGGCGGCCCAAGCCAGGAGCCTGGCCGCGACCCGGACCGGTGGTGTCCTGGGGCACCTCCGCCGCGCAGCGCTGGGGCCCGGATCCCCCAAGTGCAGCCGCAGAGCCTGGGGAGCGACTCCCCCCGACCCCCCGAGGCTTCTCTCATTCAGAGCAGTGACCAGACACGGATAACCCCCGCCTCCTCCCTCCCGGACTCGGTACGGACGGGAGAGGGGAGCCCGAGGCGACGGTCGGCGCCGCCAGGAACGTCATTCCATCCCAGACTTAATGGAAACGAGAGGGGCGGGGAGGAGCGGGCCCCGAGGCCAGCCGCGGACTGGGTGTGAGGAGGGTTTCTGCAGCTAACCTGTCTTTGATCGTCCCGCTTTCTGGTCAGTGCCCTTTGCCCGAGTGACCGCAGAGTCTAAATTCTGCTCCACGGGAACCTCAAGGGGTGAAGTCCTGAGTGCTGGGGCCTTTGAATAGCAGGCCTTGGGTTTGATTCTTTTCAGAGCGAAAGTGCCCACTCGTAAGTGATCGTCACCAATCAATGCCAGCCGTGAAATGTCCCGCAGGAGAGTGGACACGGCACGAAGTCCAAGTTCCCTCACTCGTAGCCGCTCCCTTGCCTGGGTGTTCAAGAAAGCGGGGTGGAGGTAGTGGAGGCTTCAGACTCCCTCCCACCAAAGCGGCCTTGGATGGAACCCCTCAGTGGGTCCCTTTTCAGCTGGCACTTTCTCCTCATTGCTGCCAGCTGTAACCCTCGCCGCGCCCCTCCCGCTTACCTGTGTCCCAGGTCCCTTCGCTCCTGAAATCTCAGCTCCAATTTTATCTGCCCCAAGAACACTTGGGGGATTCTCCAGTCTTAGGCACCTCCCCCCTAGGCCCGTCTCTTTTCTTCCTTTTAAAACAAAGGATTTCATCTTGGGGGCTAGCTGACGGTAATCAGTCCTTTTTACAGGTGCCTGGGGGTCGGGTGCGTTTCTAGGTAGATAACATATCAATGAAGCTCACCTGCAGGAAGGACAAAGTCTTTTGTCTGTGATTGTTCTGCCCTGATGGAAATTAAATGCTCTGCCTTTGAGGCTCCTTCCACAAACACTTAAACGTTCACTGAGGTGTGCCTGTGTGGACAAAGCTGTGAAACACCCAGTCTTGCCCTCAAGAGGCCCAGGGTGGACCCAGGCTGCCCAGGAAAGAAGCTCAGACCCTTCGCCACACTGCTCCCCAGTGCATGGCTACTATTCCCTGATGCTGGGAATCCCAGGCCTGGGGATTTCGGGTGGACTCTGCCTCCTGAGTAAGAAGTTTTGCTTCGACCTTTCAGACCAGAGCTGTCTACAGAAAACCAGAGGAAAGTAAAACAAAACACAACAAAAATATGAAGCTTCAATACCTACCTTGAAATTTCCAGCAAGCTCTAAGCCCCTAATCCTTGGAGAGGATTTCAGATCTTAACTGCTCCTTTGGTGTAACTTGTCCTATAAGCCAGGGGTCCACGGCCTTGTTAGGACCCCTTCCCCCCACCCCGCCCCCGACGGCACAGCAGGAGGTGAGCGGCGGCCAGCATGTGAAGCTTCATCTGCATCTGCATTTGCAGCCGCTCCCCAGCGCCAGCATCACCACCTCAGCTCCGCCTCAGATCATCAGGCATCAGATTCTCATAGGAGCTCCGGTCTCTGGTGCTAAAAAGTTGGAGACGGTTGCTATAAGCCATTAGACCTGGGTAGTGTCTTTGCCTGTCCCAGGTGCTGGGGCCGGCACACGGGATCCTTACAGCTGCGTGGGCCTGATCCCTGCCCCCAACATGCACCCACCCACCCCAAATTCACACCTCCCAGTGTTTGTTAAGCATTGGATGCTGGGCATTATAGCTCATGTTATTTTGCCCCAGGCTTAAAGGATCTGTTAAGTTGGGAAATCCCATTTCTTTATGAGAGAAGTTGGAGGCCCCATTCACTCTGGTCTGGTGCTTGCCATGAGGTACGACTCTGGCAGGTCACTTCATTTTCCGGAATGAGCTGGTCTCCAAGGCCCCTTCCCACACAAATGCTCCGTGACTTCCATCTCCATCCTGAGTTCTGCACACCTCAACTTTTTCTCCGACTGGGGTTAGTGGAGATGGTCCTAGATGGACACCTCAGGGTGTCACCAGGGCCTGATGTCAACACGATATGGGGCAGAACCATGGTGACCTGAGGCCCTATGTGCCCTGGGCTATTCACTGTCACCCCACTGGGCAGGGGCTCTCTCACTCCTTGGTTCCCTTTTCTTGGGAACCACCTGGAGCCCTTTCACAGGCTGGGCCATCTCTGCTGAGCGGCCTGGGAAAAGCCCCAGGTTACCAGACCTGGGGCTCAAGGCAGGGCCCCCACCACTGTGGGGACAGGCCCAGGTTCCAGGCCGTTAACCCTCTCTTGAGGGAGTTAACACAGTCTGGGCTCTGGGGCAGCCAGTGCACCTAGGGAGTAAAACAGAATGTCACCCCACGGGCTCCCTGGGGACAGGGTGGTGTCCCGACACACAGCACATTGGCTAGATGAATGAATCAGCAGCGTCCAGAGCCCCACGGCCCTCCCTCCGCCTGCTTACAACCCTGGATGCAAACTGATTTCTCTTTAGCAGCCTCCTCATTGAGCTCGCTGGGCCATGCACGGGATCACACATCCGCCCAGGACTGCAGCTCCCAGCTTCAGGGGCTCGGTGAGGTGCTATGTCTCAGAGGACCCCTGACGAGGGTTAGGGGGTGGGGAAGATGCTGCTCCCCAAGCTGGAGCCTCACTGGGGGCAGGAGGCAGCGGTAGGGTGGAGCTAGGCCTCAAGAAGGTGACGATGTGGGTCGAGGAACGGTGGCAGAGCAGAGGCCACGGGGTTTACTGGAAATGGGTCCAGACGTGGGTCAGAACATCTGGGTTGCGTGACCTTGGAGAGTTCACTTTCCTGTTTCAGTCCTGTCTGTAAGGAGGGCAGGGTAAGAGCCGGACCACAGGAGGTTACCGGGGCCAGACGGGAACAAGGACTGGCACCTTGCTTTGTGAACTGTCAAGGGACAGTCCCAGCGTAAGGGACCCCAGTTACTCTTCTGCTGTTGCTAAGTCAAGTTTTCGGCTTCTGGGTACTGTGGTGGCTCCCTCCGTCTCTCTGCCAGGGAAAGGACAGATGGCACAGGTCCCTCACACCTCACCTAGGAGTCCTGTCTGTCACTGTACGTTGTTATGTTATTAACATGCTGTCCTTGACCTCTGACCACTGAGCTGGGACATCCGGAAGCCGGGAGATGATAGTAAATATCTTGTTTATCTGGGAGGGAGAAAAGGATGAGCAAAGAAAGATGCCACAGGAGCTCTGGGGTTCTCCAAAAAACAGCAGAGATCTCTGCTAAAGACAGCGAGTCTCGGGAGCAGGGCCCCTGAAAGGGATGTTCCTTGCGGTCCCCAGATTTCTGAAGCCCAGCGCTTCATCCGCCAGTGACCCCGGGACAAGCAAAAGGCCAGCCTTGCCCCCAGTAGAGGCCTCCTCCTGGTGTTCCAAGAGCCTGAAGGTCTAGATTAGGAACACAGGGGGCCGATGATCCTGGGCTGGAAGCCCGATGTCACTGTATGACTTGAGAGAAGCCACTCGAGCTCCATGGGGCTCGGTTTCCTCATGCGTAAGTGGGGACACGGGGGATAACGCAGGTCAGATCTCAGCGTAGACCTGGGGCCACACCGACGGCTTCCCACATGGACACCAGCCTGTCTCAAATTAAGGGCCCGAGGGTGACCTTCTGGAAGAGGTTCCTTTGTGAGAGAAGCATAGAGCGGACTCGCGCCCATCAGTGTTTCCCAGAATTGAGCTAACAGAAAAAAATCACCCTCATTATCTGCGAGAGGCAGTCCTGGACTTCCGATAAAGGAATCTGTCAGGCTCCGGGGGCTTACCAGAACTTTCTGTCATTCTTTCCGGGGAGGGGTGGGCGGAGACCCAGTCCCGTGGGAGAGCAGCCTGAGCTAGCCAGACAGCGTCGTCCTGGGCCTCCAGAGAGATGGAAAGAAAATGGACAGAGGGGAAGGAGAGAGCTTCTGTTTGTGTTCAGAAAAGGCTTCTCTTCTCCCGAGAGCCTGGCTCAAGGCACATGTGGCCTAAATAAGGAGCACTGAGAAAAAGCAAGGTCACTGTCATTTGCCGAGCACTTTACTGTGGGTTAGGAATTCCGCATTTCAAGTAGTTGCTATCCTTATTCCCATTTTTCAGAATAAAAAGAGAAAAGGCTGAATAAGTTGCCCAAGGTTACACAGCTGAGTCCAGATCCCACACTTGACACTACTAAGAGGTAGGCTTCAGAGCCCAGTTCTAGCCTCAAAGCCACGAGACAGCGGGAGAGGAAGCAGGTTCTCGCTGAAGCTTGAGCGCTCTCGCCAGCATGCTGACCACGGCGGGCAAGGGAAGGTCGCTAGGGGAGATGGGGCACCAAGCAGACAGAGTCCGATCTGCCCAAGAAGGTTCTCCATCATTTCAAAGAGAACCGACGCACCCGCTTCGAGGCATGTCCTAGAAGGCCCAGCGATGTCCCCCTCTGTTTTCGTCAAGCCCACATCCACACCAAAGACCCCAATTAAATCCCTTCCTGGAACTCAGTGCATGGCCCAGGGGTGAAGAGGAGGATGAGTGTATCCGAAGGCGTCACTCAGCATCCTCTCCGTCCCAATGTGATGTGACACATCAGCCCAGATGTTCCAAGCGCTTAAAGAAACAGTGGCCTCAAATCAGCAGGTTCTCATGTCTGCGGCTTTTGTCGGGCTATTTCCACGGCCTCCCCTCCCTTTGCACTGAGCCCCCGAAATCCCAGACATCTTGGTCGAATATCCGATGTTCGGGAACTTCTGCCTGAC